AAACGTCGGTTACTACGGAATGTGTACTACGGTAAAAAGTTAACGCGGCTGATTGCCCGAGAAGATTGTATTGAATTTGTTCCCGAAACGTCGGTGTACTACGGTAAAAAATTAACGCGGCTGATTGCCCGAGAATATTTTATTGAATTTGATTCCGAAACGTCGGTTTACTACGGTAACCAGTTAACGCTTCCGATTACTTATAGTATTGTGAATATAGGCATTCGTCCATGTGAGCATTCGTACGTGTGAGCATTTGTCAGTGTGAGCATTTATCAGTGTGTGCATTTGTCAGTGTGAGCATTTGTCCGTGTGAGCATTTGTCCGTGTGAGTAATTTTCGTGTGAGCATTCATGACAGTGAGCTTCTTTCTGTGCGCAATTTTCGTGTACGGTTTTGTCTTGTACGGTTTTGTCATGGAACCCCATCACAAGCACTGCCGCAGCCTCAAGTAAATGCATTCTGTAACTGCCTTCAGTAGAGATCTGCCTCTGCAACAGTTTCAGAAGGCTTATTATAAATCATTTTCCATGTTTGTCTCTGCAGTTGTTCTTTCATATTCTTTGATGTGAAATCATTTACATTCACTCAAGTCTTCCATCTCATGATTTGCGTTGGTGCATTAGCACAGCATGTTGGTACTTGAGATAAATTGATTATTAATGATATTGTAAAGATTTATGATTGAATAAATTTCTGAAATAGTTAGCATGCTGTGACGCAATTGTAACATTTAACTCTGTCACCATAGTATGTAGACAGGCTTCAACATTTAAGTGTTCCATATAGATGTGTATACATTTTATATATTGGTCACATAATATCTGTGTGGATGATGACTGTTGAAACAAGAGAGAGACGAACGCAGATATGTTATTCATCACAATAATACTGGTTTATATGTCAACCCTTTGGATTACTGTTAATGTTCATTAGACTTATGATAATGTTTTTGGGACACAGAGTATGATGATTTGTATGTGCTTTATGATTATACATTTTGATATGAAAAACCTGTCAATGGTGAAGTGTTATTTGTGTGACATTCAGTTGTGCTTTTTAGGAAGGAAATGCTTTTAAGTAGTACATTTATTGAAAAGGGCAAAATATATATAAATCTAACAGGAAAGTTTTGTGCATATTTATTCTGATATTTTATGCATATAAAATGTTTTAAGCATTGTCATCTTAAATGAGTTGTACTGTACTTTGTAGTTGTACCTAGTCATATCATATATATATATATATATGTGTGTGTGTGTGTGTGTGTGTGTGTGTGTGTGTGTGTGTGTGTGTGACAGAAAGTAGGCATCATAAGGTCTTCCTAGAATTATTTTTGTTTTACACACTTTCTTTAAGTGAGATTGTTAAACAGAGTGAATAATCTTATAAATGAATCTGGTATTGGTTTTCTTGCATTAGTGCTAAACTGTTCGGTTCTGTTATAAATGATTAGTGCAAGTGATGAGACAAATAGTGAATGGATAGAAGATTATGTTATTCCACATTTTCTTTTAACATAAATGTTTAAATTGTTTTGCAGGTTGATTGAGGACACTGACTTCTTGTCATGTACATATCTTGGATATGGAAAGAATTTAATCAAAGAATTTAAAGTGAGTCCTGACAGTTATATCCAGATGGCACTTCAGTTAGCATATTACAGGTGATTAAATCTTCATATCAGATACAATGAAATGTAATTTTTTACAAAGGAAAAGTAACAGTAGTATTCTATCTCTTTATAGGGATGTTCCCTTTTACTGAAGTTCAACATCTGTTCTTGCTGTTATAAGTCTTCTGTCTTCTTCTTTATCTTCTCCCATTCAAGATTGGGCTATGAACCTGTTCCAGCTTCATACATATTCAAAGGAATTAATTCTGTTTTTTAAACTATAACAGTTTATGACTAAGTTTTCTTACCAGAGTGGTGGTAAAGTTTTAAATGTCTGTAAAACAAATCTTTCCAAGACAGTTAAAATGAAGAACAGTAATATGTAAATTAATAGGCAAAATAAAGTAGGATGAGGTTCTCGTGGCAGTGAGTATGAAGATAGCTGTCTTCTGGGTTGTAGCATTGTGTAGTCTGGTAGAAGTTTACCGTTTAAAAATCCTTGCTCCATCCATAATCAGGGTGATGACAAATAAAATAATGTGTAGCAATATGTATTTGAAATTTTACAAAATATTGAACCATTAGTAAAATACAACATTGAGGCATGAGACATGAACATGTGACAGAAGAATTGAAGCAGCAGAAGAAAAATAAGACAGACATGAGAAATTTTTAGGTTGCTAATATAGTTAAAACAATAATTATATGTTTTTACTTTCTGCAGACTTCATAATGAACCAGCAGCCCACTATGAAT